CCCCCCTCAAAAGCGATAACCTTGCTGAATCATGTCCTTTACTTCTTCCAGTACATTTTGGCGGATGCTCATATGAGCTGGATGCGGCAGAATAGAAGCTCAGGATCGGTAGAAGAGCGTGGACAGGAAGACCTCATGGTTTCTGTACAACGCAGCCGTGGAATGAACACCGTGTGTTTTCACACGGAACACGCAGCCAGTGGTGTTTCACCAGAAATGCCTGTGGTTGTGTTTTGTGGGTGTGTCTCGGACTGTGACGACCTTCAAAAGGAATTTCAGGGACTCATTTTTATTTAGACGTAAAGAAAGCAAGAAAAGGAAGAAACAGGTCTAAAGAACTCACCAACACATCGTCGCTGGAAGATGTCCCTTTCCGGGCCGTTCAGGAAACTACCCCAACTGACCCGCAAATATTCCAGTCCCCATGGTTCGTTTGCATGATTCTTTGCAAACAATAATGCACGCTTGCGCTTGCACGCAGGTGACTTTCAGGAGACACACCCATTTTTTCGAGGGGTGATTAATCGCTTTTGTATGCTTGAGGGGATGAGGCCGGGGATGAGGCCAGACATGGCCAGACTGGTCCCAAAAGGGTCGTCCGGTGAGCTGCGATCGGTGAGGATGCCCCATCTGAGGGTGGTCTAGGTCGGTGTAAGCCTTAGTTTACGGGTGTGGTGGTTGAGGTGGTGTTGGTAGGGTATCTTAGGTGAGTATAGAAGCCTGATATAGCTGTTTCATCAGGTTTTTGACAACTCATTTGGATTCATTTATATACCAGCAGTCACGTGAGCTCCGGGGTGCCGGTCCCGAACGGAGGACGGAGGAGTTGGGGTGCCCCCCGTCACATCACATCGTGACAGCCATGGGACTAAAAAGGACACCACCCAGTTGAAAGAATCAACCCCAAACTGGGTGGTGCCTTTTTAGGGGCCCCAAAAAGTCCGGTTCCTTTGGGCCCCAAAAAGTCCGGTGCCTTCTACAACCCCAAAAGGTCCGGATCCGTCGATCCAAAGAGCCACTCAGAGCCACTCCAAGCCTCCAAGCCTCCACGGTGCGGGAGGGGGAATGGGGGGTGTTGGAGCTGACCGTCATTGGTTACAGAGTTCAAGGAACATGATGTGCGATGCTTGTTTGTTGTTGATTGAATGCTTGCCAGACTCCAACTCATCAATGATGAAGAGAGCCCATTGAGAGAAAGGGTCAGCTGAAAACATAATCCAGGTGAAGTAGAGGATATGTTTGTAGGAGGTCTCTTGATGCCCATCAAAGCCTAATTTGATGTCCAGGTTTATTTTTGTTTGGGCCGTCTTACAGTCTGCACCATCCGCCAGTCTGCAACTTGGAGTCTTTAATGAGCCCAGCTCGGTATAGGGGTCTTATGAATCAAGAGTCACCGAAGTGGTTCTTCCATGTTTTTCCAGGTCGTGTCAGTCCGTTCCCTTCGTGTCGCCAGGCATTGCTTGGGCCGCTGCTCGAATGCGCTTCCACCATCCGCAGCTGCTTTCCGGGCTTCATCAACGAGCCACCCAGGTGCGAAGCCCAACCGATCCGCGCACCGACGGATCCGACGATGGCACCGCCCACGGGCGCGGTGGGTAGGTCGGGAGGTCAAACGGGTCGAAGCGTCCGATGAAGGCCGTCCTTGGGACCCATGGGACGACACATGGGGACTGGAAGAGATGCCGAGAAATGGCCAGGGGTGGTTGACTGGGGGGTCAATGGCATCGCAGGCCATTGCTATTAGGTTGGAGCCGATTGCTATTAGGTTTTCTGATGACATGGAGAACCAGCCAGGTCTTCACCTTTTCGCTGGAATTGACTTATAGATTGAGTCGGATATAACTTCACATAATTTCCTAGAATGGATTTAGTTATAGACCAACCTTGCCTTGTGCAACAGGGTTTTGGAAGATCTCTATCCTTATGGAAGGAGACACGAGAGCCATATGGAGCCAAGCTACAGTGCCTACAGTCATGCAGCATCATGCAGCTATCACAGATGTGCAGCTGCTCATGCCTTGTTTGGGTTGATTTGGTGATTCACTGTGTGAACAATTTGACACCTGTCTTGATGATTGCTCAATCGAGAACAATAATTCCATTCCTCTTATGCGTTGCTCGTGGGGATTACTAGACCCTGAAAAATTGCAGCAGAAACACTGAGAGGGGATCAATGCAGGTGTGGTGGTGTGGCCCTTGAGGGCTTTGACCATGATCTGGACTTAGGGGCCGAATTATGTGAGACGTTTGGCAGAGCTACTACCATGTTTTCTCCAGTCAAGATGGAAAGCAAGTCTTGATTAGAGCCTGATGCAACTTTGGATGTGTAAGTTCTTTGCCCAGCTGCTGCCGAGGCCCTAAATGCACAAGCTTAGAGTCAGTAGCTGGTGATCCACCTCACATGGGGCGAACCACCTCACAAAATCGGTCGAGCCGGGAGCCGGTGGCCGGCACTCGGGTGGCCATCCAGGTACTCCGAGACTTCAGCGCACATGATGCCAGCGCCTTCTGCTGGGTCCGGACGCCCGTGGACGGTGGCGGTCGGCCATCGTGCCCAGGTGAGAGACTTTCGAGACGCGGAACGAGGTCATCCAGGGGTTGGTTCTTCTTTGGCTCAGCAGACATCCTAAGTGGAAGGGAGTCTATGCCTGCTAAGTGGAAGAGAGTCTAAGAACAGAAGCTTAGGATGCTCAGCAGGCATCTTCGTCGTTCTTGGCCTCTTTGGGCTTCATTGGGATTCGGAGACCTGACGGTCCGCTTCAACGTGGGCGAAAACTCAACGTGGTCCGCTACAACCTGACGGTCCAGTCCGCTGGTCCTGAAAAACCTCATAACTTCTGGTCAAGACCTTCGTCCGGAACTCCAAACTCACCTGTAGTAGGATCTGTTATTGTTTTTTTGTTCATTCCGGGTGGGTCATGTCACCCGAGATAGGTCATCCAGGAGTTTCTTTGAGTTGGGTGGTGGAGGAGACAAGGCCCATCCATTATCGGCGACTGGAGACTCTTCGACAAACAGAAGAGTTTACGACTTACCACGAGTTTGGATTATTTTGTTTTGAGATCTATTGACTGAAAGCAGATGGTTTCTTTCTGGCGACCAGTCATCCCAGTTGTCCATGTCCAAAGTTGATTATATAGGGACACCAGTTAACAACCCAAAGCCATCAGCTTTAGAGAAAGAGTATAGAGGTCCATAGTATGTGACATCGGTCACCATCATATGGACAACCCTGAGATCGAGACCCAACCAGTCAGCAGTTCATAGGGCCTTTGTTTTCCGGGCCTGGGCCCGCGTCCGAATGAGAAGAACCGCCTCCCAGTCACGAGGAAGGAGGTAGGGGGTGCCCCGAACCACCCCCGACTCCGAGAACCACGACACGGACTGGAATCGATGCCGAGAAACGGCCAGGGGTAGTTTTTTCTGGGGGGGTCAAGGGGGCGGCAGTCCTATGGCAGTCCCATGGAGCGTTTGGGTTTGTTTGGAGTCCAAGGCCTTCAGTGTCTTGGGCTGTCCCGATGCGCGGCTCTTCGAAGAAATGGCACATCACTTGGACCAGGACAGGTGTGGCGCTGTGCCCCCAACGGGGCGAGTGTGGCGGCCTGCGTTTGGTTCGGAGGTCGGTGTTTTTGTTTCATTTCCATTCATTTCCCCTATCTTCACATTCGGAATCATGACGTAGAGGTAAAACGTGTACGTTTTGAAGACGGCCAACATATATGAAGGCCATTGTATTTTGGGAAGGACACTTTCCGGAAGGTTGATGCTTAGCAACCGAAACAGAAGAGATCAAACAACATCCACTGCTCTTAACCAAGCCAAAACGTCCCACCTTTTGCTGGTGGAGAAGGCCATCCGCAGTCGGCAGAACCCAACATAATGGGAAGCTGAAGCATTTGCTCCATCTGACCCACTCGGAAGCATGTAGGTCTTAGATGATCTTAGCGGGATTTTCCAGCTTGGTATTGTGAGCCTCAAATAGGAGAAAATAGGTATCGGTATAGACAATTTCTTCAATACATTGCATGTATATAACTCAGCAACAATGATAATTTATTACTATGTGCTATTTAACTTGCGGACCCTTACAGCAAGTGGTTAGTGATACCGTGGTTGTAAGTCCACGTTGCCCAAAACCTTTGAGATGACCCACAACTGAAGTACTTGCCAAGCGTAGAATGCTATAGGTACCGTGGTGCTAGTGCGCATTGCGATCTTTTTTCTATCAACTGTCGCAGTCGCACCGAGTTTGGAGTCTCTACTTCACAATCGGTGGTGACCCTCCAACTAAGGCCACTCGTTCTGGGGGGCATCTTCAAAGCTGGAGATGTTGATGTGAGTGTTTTGAGTGCATCGGCATGTTGTTTGGAGGTTCCCGGCGGCACACCTTCTAAGCAAACAGTGATGAACTATTATGATGAAAATACAGCTTTTACATGTAAAACATGTAAAATCCATCCTCGGACGGATGTGTTGACCTCCCTCCTCGCACAGGGCGGCGCTCTGCGCCGCCTGAGCTTGCCTTTAGCAGCAGAGCTGGCATGGGCCTGGGCACAGGCTCGTGTGGAGGCGCACGCAGGGCAACGTCCTAGGTTTGTTGAAAGGATCGTTCATATTCCGTTGCTAGCTCATAGTCCCTGCTGCTGTCATCCGAACGCGCAGAAGAACCCCCCAACCATCCAAATGTCTCCCACTCTCCACTAATTAGGTGAGGCTTTGAGCCTTTGAGTGGGGGGTGTTGCATCACAACTTGTGAGCCGAACAAGAACACCTTCGCGCCAGACCAGATCCATGTGATACACGCGCCATGTGATACGCCCTTGTCCTACATGGATCAGTGGATATGGCAGAATTGGGCATTTTTAGAGTGTGGATTGAGTTGGGGAGAACATCGCATGGCCGTGGGTCAAAACCGGAGAACCCTGGTTGACCAAGGAAAATGATGGAACATGAACAGAATGGGCTACTAAGGATGGTCAACCTAACAGTGTTTACGGCTCTGGGTTTTGAATAGGTTCATAGAAATTGTATTTCAGCCCATACCGTACCTTGCAAGCCAACATTTGTGCTGGGGGTGCTTGCAGCTTGCATCAACGAGGCTCCCAGTGCCTTCCAGACCCTTGAGGAGCTTTGTGTGTTGGGGATGCCCAGACATGTCTGGTGTGGTTGGATCTTCGGGCGTGTTTTCACTGTGTTTGATTCGTCACCCCAATCACAGCACTTCACAGCTTCACAAATGTCAGTCAAAGAAATTGGTGTGGGAACAGAGTGCTGTGTCATGTGGTATCATGACACAGCACATTCCCGAAAGCTGCACATGCAGGCACTGCAGCCATTGAAACAGTGGTGTTTTCTCCTACAACTGGGCCCTCAAAGTAGGGTCAGAAACCCTGCAGAGGCTGTCGAGTCCAATCCCACAAGGATTGCTCAACAGCTCGAGGATTGTTTCCTCAAAGGGAGGACATCACAGTCTGCAGAAGATGGTTTACCTTCTTGATGACAGATATGTACAGATTCTGAGTGGATCAAGGCTGTTGACATAATAGTATTCACACGTATATATTCACCGAGTCCAGACTGTGCTGGTGAAAGGGACAAACCAGACCTTGCAATTGCAGATCAAATGACTAAAACGCCATGTGTATTCACCCTTCACCTTGCCCTTCCAACTGCCGCACCGTTCGACCTGCCCTGGGCCTTTCGAGGTCAAACATCGAGAGTCTGGAAACCGTCCCTCGGGCGCGTGGGACGCCATGCGCCGGGTGCGGTGTTCGGAGGCGACAGACCGGGGTGCCCTGGGGGTTTCATGAGTCTAGTCTAGGGACCATCATCATGCGCATCCCGAGGCTGCCAGAGGCGACTCTTGCTTTGACTGGGAATTAGCAACCCCACACATGATCATTAGAACATATTATAGAACAACATTGTAACATTGTAGCATCAAGTGCATCATAGTGTAGAATCATTAGATACATGATGCTCGTACATGTCACCTTCTAGCTGCCGGGATTGGGGTGGGCAAAAATAAAAACATGAATGCCTTCGTCGCCTCAGGAGTAGTTTTGGCCATTCCCTTGGTTTAACATCATCCCTCGTATGGCAGTGCTTCCCTTATCATCATCGCAGTTTGCTCGCCGTTTTCCAAACAACAGGTGCACTTCACTGCGGGATTCCTGCAATAGCTTAAGGAGTATGGAGAAAGATTTAGAACATAAGGGCGTGCATCAGGCACCAGTAGCTTACGGTCCGTGTCCGACCCCGCAAGAGTAAACGTAAAAAAGGTCGACCAAGCAACCAGTGCTTGGGAGGGTCTCCCTTTATTATCATCTGCTCCAGCTCCATGCTTTCCATGTGGTCACTCGGGCCCAAGGAGGATGTGTGTGGCTTCGCCTGGGCCTTTGCCACCGCAGATCGTGCCCATGCGGCCACTCGGGAGGGTACCTTCCGGGCGCTGCAAAGCTATGCCGAGAGGCCCGCCGACCGTGCCGTCCGCTCCTAGCGGCGTAGCGCCTATACGGGGTCGGATGGGAAGCATAGTGGGCTCATGCAGTCTCGGAAGGTGGCTTGCGCCACTGAGCATGGATGGCATGCCTGGATGTGGGTTTAGGGTTCAGGGTGTTTGGGTCCAATTCCGCAAACTTTCAAAATCGGACTGGGAAGTCTTTAGGCTGGGCTTTGAGTTGTATGAGAGGAGGGGAAGCAGGGAAGCACTTTGACCCGAAAAACGCCGACACTTGTGACCTCTTGACCCATTTGCAGAGGTCCCATTTGCAAGTCAAGAAAGACCGGACGCAGTTTCTATGTCCCCGCAGCGGCCTGCAACCACTGCCACAGGTATGCAGGCCGCTTCCGCCCCGCAGAAGTTCGCGTCTTGTGCCTTATCTGACCAGAGAGATTCGCCCGTGCGACGATCTCGTCGAGTGGCTGAGGGTGGTTGGATCATGTTGGATCCAAAGGACCAAAGGAATCTCTACTCTAGGGGCGAAACGTCCCTCATTCCCTACTTATAAGCACCAGTCAGGATTTGGGCTCCTGGAGTGTTCTAGAAGTTGCTGTTGGTCACTCGTTCACGAACTCCTTTCAGTCTCGAAAGGGAGAGATGTTGGGGCGTGAACGACGCGTGGACCACGTGGAACCCGTGCCGGTTTTTGTTTGCTTTTCTTATGTGGAGTGTGGCATGGACCATCATTTGCCCCCGGTTTAACCACCCCAAAGAGGTTTTCATTTGTCAGGCCCATGGAGTATTTGGGATGGGTGGCTGTGTCAACGACCACTCTCAGAAAGGGCATGTTAAGATAGTGGGACCTCGGGAACCGAATGGTGGTGAATGGGTTTCCACGTTTTTTTACTCACATGTACTACATTGTACTCCTATTAGTGTCCAAAAAACAGATTTCAGACATGCTTGGGAATGAATGTGCCATAGTTGCTGGCGTACATAATTGAAACGCCGCAGCAATGTCTTTTAGAGGAACATGTTGACATGTTGCTTTCTGGGGGCAAGTCTTGTATGCCCTCTGTTTTTCTGCATGCACACGTAATTCATATGGCCGGCAGTATTAAGTCTTTACACACAAGGACAATCCAAGAGGTCGAAAAAGATCCTTGAAGTCAGAAACGTTCTTCCAATGCCTCTTGCAAGTCCCAAACGCGACGCTCCCCTTCCGAACGCATCACACGTATACCCAAGGTCTCCGAGATCGTTGGAAGACTTCTTTCGGTGCCATCCATGTGGGCGCTATCCATGTGTTATCCATGTGAAGTCGGAGTAGTGTGGACCTTCGACCCAGGTCAGCCGCCGCCCCCGTTGCGACTTCACCGGTTCATCGCTCGTTTGGTCTGGTCCCTTCGAACGAAGCCATGACCTTTTTGGGGGAGCCATCGGTAGAAGAGGATCACCAGTTTTGGGATTGGGGAGGAAGGTCTATTTGCGAATCTGGACTATAAGCATTGTCCTTGGGACTGGGGACATTTCATACGTATACCGTATACTCAATTGATCTTCATCATTGGGGATTGTTTGGAGCCGCAAAAGCAGTCAAAGCAGCTATATCCAATTTTCATCAATTTTCTACTATTAGGGCAGCTCCTCCAATCAATTTGTTGACCTCCAGAATGAACAAATCAGTGGTTCAAAATCGCTCGAACCTTCTTTCAATTCCACTAATACTATTATGGAGCGGGAAACTTGCACAAGCTGTAAGGTACACACTGGTTACCACCTGCACCTGGCCGTCCAGTTTCCTGACCATTTGGTTCCCTAGCACGGGAGCTGGCTAGGTGCTGGGTGCTGGACAGCCGATCCTTGCTGGGCCCCCGGCTGCGTAGCCGAGCGGAGCATCTGGAGAGCGGGTGACTAAAATGGAGTGCTGGGACACCGGTGGAACACCGACGCACACCGACCCCGCTGTCGTTGGGCCATGGATGGCAGCGTGGTACTTTTCGTGGACGGCGGTCTGATGACTAAAGGCCTCAGCGAGGTCCTGCGTGTTTTACAAGAAGAGATTCAGTCAATGTGAGCTCTTTGTGCTGCATGTGGTGGTAGCTCATTGGGGGTGATGGCTCACTGACCTTTTCAAGCCTGGCTTTGGCTGTTGACTACAAAGACTGGCTCTTTCAGCATGTTCAGCCCTTGTGTCAGAAGGTTCCTGACGTTCAGAATTTGTGGAGTGACCCAGATACACTCTCAGCGACGCAGCGATCCACAGAAGAACAAGCATGGCCAACTTGAGTCAATGATTGCTCCGTATACTCTTCATGTTGATCTATTTCGTAGTTTTGGGTTCTGGCGTGTCTACGCTGAATCCGCACAGCGGTCTGTGTGTGTTATTTTTTTCCGGCACCTTTGTGGTGTATCCTCCAATTATCTAGCCATGTTGGTGAAGATTTCTTCCAGCCATCCGGGTGGTGAATGGAAAACTCATGTTTGTGTCAACGGGGCCAACACGCCTTCCCAAAGCTGGAACACGGAACGGGTCGATGTGCTGCGCTTGTACCTTGTTTGTATTTGTTTGTATTTGTTTGTACATTCATCAGTGTTCAACATGGTGGTTTCCATCCACTAAATGATGTTCTACCGGAATCGACCGGCTACTTCGACCTGCCGTTCGTCCTTCGCCTCGCCAGACGGACCGAGCCGCAGAGCGACCCGCCAACGGACCCGCCACCCGCGAATTCACGGCTCTGCAGCTGCAAAACGAACGCAGACGCTCCATGGCCCCCAGAGCCGTCACGCCCCCCCCCATTTTGACGCAGCCCTCCATGTGTTGACGACGTTTGCAGTCTTCAGGTGCCAACGCGGCCTGGCCAACAACCCCAACCCAAGTAACCTTGGCCCCCTGGCTTCTCGTGAATCACATGCAGCGGGTGCTTTGCGTATGCAAAACAGGGATCGCTCACGAAAAAGGGGGTGTCTTGGTAGTCGGGTAGTCTAAGCACATCGATCAGCACATCGATCAGCCAAGGATCCAAGCAACAGACCCCCGGGGTGGTGGTGAACTCTGCGCCCCAATGGTCCTTTTCCAGTTGTAGCGGGTGCAGCCCGCAGCCCGCGAGGCGAGCAACTCCCACCGTCACGTCCGTTTCGTCGCGATTTACATGTGTTTTTTGAGTTTGCAAGGGCAAGGCAAGCTGGGAGCCGGAAGTGTCCGGAACTGACATCATGTTCATCAAGAAAGAGATAGAAGAGTTGGGTTCCAAGAGAAAATGTCTCGAAAGCTGCGTTTCCTGCAGGCAGACGCAGTCAATGGCACAAGATGGCTATACTGCAACTTGGTGCAACTGTGACTCTTGGTTATACCATGAAATATCATAAAATTAGCCCCCTCCCAGGACATGGATTGTAAAACCTCTTCAGGCTCAATTGGGGGGGTTGAAATAGTCTACATTAGTGCGGTGGACCCTTCGAAGGACTTGGGTGACCCAAAAAGAAGATCCACGGCAGACGATGCCCGTGGTCACCTCCGGTTCGACCTGAACTATGCGAGCGACAACGAGCTACCGCACCCCCGTCTCACAGGAATGGATGGTGACCAGTGGGCATGAGAACATATCTCAGACACTCCATGTATGTCATATATACATTGGGTGGCTGACCTGGGGTCAAATGTATATATATAATATTATATATAGTATAAATATTCCAGTCCCAGACACGTCTGTTCCTGGTTCTACCTGGCTGGCCGGTCGAATGGACGACCGTCGGTCGACCAATGGTGGACCCGACCCCGATTACAACCATCCAGTAAGGGAATGTATGTGTTTAGGTGTACCGATGTGAGCCGGTGAGCCGGCTCAGCTGTCGAACCGTCATGGATCTTTAGTAGAACACTGTGGGTTTCGAAAGTTGCGGTGAAAGCTTTTGAACCTTTCTTTAAACCTCAGGCCATGCCCTTCTGTCTACCTTCCCAACATCCGAGGTGAACAAGGAATGGTACATAATGAATCATATATTGAAACTACTGCAAGATACTGCAAGCATTTGTTGCAAGCTCTCTCTTTAGTAGGAACAAGTCTGCTCTCCCGGTTTTGGCTCCAAGGCCACGGTGGTCATAGGCTGTGGTGACTGCCACTCAGAAGCACTGGCCTGCAGCTTCCGAACTGGGAAAGAAGCCGTAGCGCATGGGACGCCACAGGCATTGGGAAGCTCTTTGTTTGGTCCGAGGAAACAACCATGAGCTTGAGTTTGTTGGGGATGTTGCTAATGTTAACATTTATTTCAATCCCCCCCCCAAAAAAAAATAATAACTAATATATATATATATTTAGAGGTGGGGTTTAATAGAATCAAGAGTCTATGATTTCCTTTCACCTCTTCTGCTTGGGTGCAGGCGTTCAGAATGAGGCCCGGTGGACAGACATACTAAAGCCGCTAAAGCCCCAAAGATCTCTAAGTTCCGCAACAGGGTCGGCCTTCGGAATGCTGTTAGCCTGACACAACTAATGGGACTGTCATATATATATAATACACATACGACATACGGATGGTTGGTTTCAGGGGTTAATGCCCCTATATACGTATATACCTGGAAGGATAGCAAACAAGTTTAGCCGATATGTTGATATTTTTCATTTTTTTCGATCGATTCAACATGGAAAACAACTATATATATATATGTATTCTGTTATGTCACTTAGAAGACTCAGATCACCTGCGAAGGACCCAACCCGTCTCCCGTGTTCGATCCGACGGATCCAACCGGGTCGATCGAACCCAGAGGTTTCAGGCACACCCGGTGGTCGTACACTAGTGTATGTATCTCTTTGTAGGCGGTCGTAGTGCCAGATTCAGGATGTTTTGTACAGATATAGTACATATTTTGATCCAACAATTGTATACTCAAACTTTTGACTGAGGTCAAGAAACCCAGAAGACTTTCCAGCTAAAGCCTGGGCGGAAGAACAAGGCCGGCCAGACGAAGGATGCATGGCAGCTTCTACTAGGGATCGCTTCTACGAATGGCTGTATGTTTGGATCAGACGTTTTTCAATATCGCCTTTTCTTAGGGGGCCTGAATTCTGCTTTGTGATCGTGCCCCCTTTAATGTGGATGGTCTACCAATCATGGTTGAGGATCTTGCTGCACCCATGCATGAACAACAAACCAAGGGTCAACACGCCCAGTGATCGCGAAAGGAACAAGGCATACCATATATGCCATGTGTATCCATTTGTGCCTACATTGACCCCAAACCACCCCTGGCCGTTTCTCGGCCGTCCTATGGCATGAATCTGGGATGGTCTACCAATCCCCACCATTCCACTCCACAGCTTCGCTTGCTTCGCCTCCGCACGCTCGCACGCACCGGGTCCGTCGGTGTCGCAGGTGATCCGTGTGGGTCGCAGTACACACAGCGATCTCCTCTTTGGGCTGAGAGCCCAGCGGAGGGAGACGGATCCAAGGAGAGACCGAAAAGGAGAGGAGCAGAGATCCACATATAGTATGCTGATGAGAGGTGTTTTCGCCTTGGCCTTTCAAGATGTAAACACCACATACTGACCATTCATATTGGTGACCGACGCGCACAAGTCATGGCAAGTCTGGTGGAAGTCATGGCAAGTCTGGTGGAAGTCGTTTTTGGAAAAGCAAATCAAGTACTGGTGCAAGAATCTTGCAGCTGGCACATGTGCTACAGCCACACCATCATCGCTTCGTCTTAACTACCCCTGGCCGGCTCCTGGCCTACCTCCGTTTCGAAGATGGTTGGGCTGGGTGCCAGGGGGGTCTAACCATCTTCTGAAGATATGGTTGGAGCTATATAACAGGGTCAACTTCAGACCACACCGTTACCGTCTCCGCCCGTGACACAGACGATGGAGGAGACCTCACAGATCTGCCTCCACCCCTCCTTCTGCGTCGGCCATCGGACGGGACGAGTTTGATCGGCCGCGTCGGCGCCGAGGAATCCCAGTGTGTCATGGCACCACATGAACATCACGCTCAACAGAGGGAGCAAAAGTCAAGGCTGGCGGTGCGGCGGTGCGCGGGTGGCTGCTGCTTTTTGGGGCGGCATCCAGCACGACCTTGGGTCCGGGTTTTGATCCAAAGAGGGCCAGCTGGGTGGATGGAACTGCCCCTGCCATCTAAGTCCCTGGAATCATCATGGGCCAACGTGGGTGGCATGGCCCCAAGTTTGGATGACAGGCAGCTGTGGCTGATGTGAACCATCAGGCAGCCCAAGCCAAACTTACGCCAGAACCAGCAGCTGAAAGGTGATAGGTCTTTGTTGCAATGCACTGCTATGTTGGTTTATGATATACAATTAATCTATATTGTGTTTACATGTTGTTACAGATATAGTATAATCTGGTGTATGTCTAATTTATGGCTTTGGCATAGCTTGGAAGATTGCTAGGATGGCCTAGGAGGTGAGTATGTATTTACGGTCTTGGAGGCGAGTATGTGCTTCCAGAACATGGTCTTGCTGGAGAAAAAGAATCGCCGAGTCCGCTGGTCCTTGACCCTCTTGGTGTATTCCTCTATTGTTTTTCGGATGCATTTGTCCAGGCATCGCGCCCCACGTCACCGTCAAGGACCTCAGCTCCAGCGGCTCCGCTGCCAAGGTGGGTACACGATCACACGATCGCCGGACTTGGGTGGCCAGGTTTTGCATCCAATGCATGGAACCAGGACCTACCAGGACACCCCAAGCCTGGAACGATAGTGACTCTTCAGCCCGAAACAAAGAGGTGAAGTAAGGCAGGTAGTCTCTATTTACCACCGGATTTGGTCCGAAGTTGGCCACAGTGGTTGGAAGACATGTTGCCACCATCCTGCGGACCTGCGGACCTGCGTCGCCCACCGCGTCGCCCACCACGATGTGAGCCGAAGCGGACCCTTTGGGGCCGGAGGGAAAGCCAAGTTGATACCCGGTTACAATTTCTGGACACATTCAACAAAGGAACGTTATAGAAACACACCTTTGCAGTGACAGCACGTTCACGCTGAATGGCGGAGCTCTGTTCCATGGTCAGTTTGCAGTTTTGACTGTCGTTCTTGCACCAAACCCATGCAGGTAACCCAGCATTTGGAAGCTAAACTGGTCAGTCTACTTTGGTGAATCATGGTGATTAACATTGATTAGCCCTTCGCTTCACCTAAATTCACTTGATAAAAAGTGCAATTTTTGCTGGTCGCATTGACCTTTTCTGCAGTCAGAAGGTCGAGTCCAAACCTGCACCTCACTGGTACATGGGGTACCATGACCGACCACATGGCCTTGCTGCAACGCTCACGTGCACCACGTCCGCGCCCGGACGCCGCGGCGGACGAGCCGCGGCTCGTCGCGACCAGGTGAAGGGCAGAGGATGGTGCCGATTGGCGAAGGAGTGGCACTGACGAAGTGAAACATTGCAGTGGTTTCAGAGTAGATGGCACAATCACCAAGAGGTGGTTTATACGCAGCCCCATCTAAAAGACATGTAGGGGTGCCAGTGCCATCGAGCCTCTGAACCCACTGTATACAATCATGGAAGTTGTTGGCATGGCCCTGTGAGGATGACCGTTTTCCTCTACCAACCCGGAGGGCTCCAGTTAGACTGGTCAGTGTGTAGGTCACCAGTCTTGACTGTCGTGTGCACAGACATACCACGACGGTCGTGTGGCCGTGGTCATGAGGTTGACTACCACACCGGCAGACCGCGAAAAACTGCACCTTCAGACCGCTCAGTTAGTCGTTTGTGTCTTAACATGTCTTTCTTCGTTGTAACGAGTGGGAGAGCGCCCAGTTTCAGCTTCTTTTCAGATCGACCATTGGCAGTCTAAGCCGGGCTTTGTTGAGAAAACGATGGGCCGAACTTCTTCAGAGGCTCAAAAAGAGTCCCGGACTTCTTCAGAAGTCCCCTGGGCCCCATATGACCAACTCTTTAATCTGGTTTTGACTAAACTAAGTAGTCTCCGGTACTGTATGCTCTAATTGATGGTCCAACATCAGTATTCACTGGTGAACGACATGGGCCCCCATTCTGTTCACGACACCACAGCCACTCAATGAGATACTATGATCTGCTACATACTAAAGTAGTCTGAACGCGATACTGTGACATGACCTCCTACTAAAGTCTATATAAACGTGATAGGGCCCCCACATAATAAGATAGCAAGATAGCGTCTTTGAGTTGAGTAACTAACTAAATGCCGCTCAAAATCTGTTTGAAGATGGCAGAAGCAAGTCGCTCGTCGCTCAAAGAAAGGGTTGCTTCAAACCATGTTGGCTTCCAAGTGTAGCAGTGCTCCGAGCGAGTCCGTCCGTCCGAGTCATCGACGACCGGGGAGGGTCGACGTGACCAGGGTTTTGAGGCTCCGGGTGCCACCCACACGATGCACATCAGACGTTGGGAGGGGGTTGGGCTTCTGCAGTTCCCGATGGAGGAAAAGGCTTGTCAGTGAACGATGCACATCAGGGTAGTTGTTTTTTGTAGAAGAAACCAAAATGCAGCCGCCCTGAGCCAAGGAGGTAGATGAGTACCACAGTGAGTACCACAGTACAGCAGAATTGCATCTCATGCTCCATAAGCCTAGGCCTTGTACAGGGCTTTTGACAGTCATGGCTTGGAAACCTTGTAGAGCTTCGCAGGGATGAAGTGGGAGAGAAACAAGAGTTTATGACAAATACGCGCATTAGGACCAACAGGGTCCTGTTGGTGCCAGTGAAAGATTGTTCAGGCAGAGGTGATTACTTTTAGAGAGAATTATCACATCTTACGCACGTATACGGGGGTGCAGAAAACAAAACACATGATAAAAGGATGCCACATCCAGTTGCTGGGGGTCTCTCTGCTCTGGTACACGCCGATAATCACACATATCTAAATGAAGGACATCAGAATGAGCATACTGGCTTTGAAATCGAAGGAAGAAACAACAAGAAGCCAAAAGCAATGCTTTCTATCTCTCATGAGCTTATCTTGATGGTCCTTCTTAGCCCTTCGCTGCCCGGCCGTCCAGGAGGTTGACCATCAAATAGACAGTGGCACGATTTTTGCCTTGCCTTGCAGGATAAAGCCGAAGGCCAGGGCGCACGGACTTGACTCCCGACCTCCTGGTTCAGTTTTGGCTTTAATGATGTGCCTCATGAGGATGTAGTAGGAGGTGCAGGGTACGGTTTCCTATACTCTACTTGATTGGTGGTTTGATCATTCTGTAGTTGGGTGGGTGCAGTTGGTCAAGATCCAAAACCTTGCTGCCTTGCTCCGCAACTTGGTGTTCCGTCCTGCAGAACCCTGCAGCAACCTCCGCATGAAATATGTTGGACGAGGACCATCCAAGATGGGTGTCCAATAGGAGATTCCTGAGTAATGTAGGGTAACGCATTGGACACCCAGAGGTCCAGGGATATGTTCTTTGCTCTTTTTCTCTGGAGGTTGTCTTTCCTTCTGTCCCAGAAAAGCAGTCGGACTGCTACATATCATACTGCCACAGGCTGACTGCCTTCTTGTAAGAAGGGACATGTATGGGTGCGAGAATGAGCGGACTACCCCGTGAAGCATCAAAATGACTTCGGTTCCCCTTCCACTCTTGATGGATGAATAACTTCAAAATTTGGACCTTGTTATTGTGTTTAATCGGAATGTCAGTTTCAAAGACCCCGCAGCGACACGCGGCCATGCCCGCGCGCGTCCACAGGCAGGGGAAGATCTGGATAAGGCGCGCTGCACCTTTGCCGCTCGGAGATAAAGAGCCGACAGGCACCAGGAAGTTTAATCAGAATTCTAAAAAATAGAATGGAGGACCGACCAAACTCTTTTGGAGATGGGGACACCCCGTAAAATATGAATCTAGCTATTATATTATAGGTGGAAAGTATGGAAACACCTGAAACAATCATGTGTCAGTGCAACATGGCCCGTTGGAGAACCATGTTCCAAATACCAAACAGGGGGTGAACTCCACTTCCATTGATTCTTGATTATTGTTTGTTTGGAGTGTAAGTAACCTATTTCTATGTTACAGACCAACTGAGGGAGTCAGGAGAAGAACCACCCTAAAAGAGTCGGGAAGAAAGATGTCTTTCAAACACTTCCGGTTCGCCTTGATCACGATTCAGGTCGCGTCAGGCAGCCCCTGACATTCTCCTTGCTACCTCGCAAGTCCATGTCTTTAGCAAGTCGCCTGCTACCTTTCGTTCACCCACTCCTCTCTCAAGTCTTGGCTTCTCAAAATCCTTAAGATCCAAACGGATCCAACCCGAAAGATCCAGCAGTGCGCGCAACTCTGGAGCCAGAACCCATTTTTCTTCTGGAAGCCACAGGAAGCCGGTTGAGTAGACCCATTTTTTTTTCCGTTTTGGACTCATTTGACCCCACCTGCGAGTCAAACTCCACCACTTCCAGGTTTGACTCAGGGTCACATGAGTCATGACCAACTCCACCGGGATCCAGAACCTTCCACCTTCTCGACCTGATCTCGGGAACGACCCGTCCGGGTCCGCCTCCGGTCGGTCGGTCCTCCGGTCTGCCGCGCCTGAGGCGGTGTACTTCTTTGAGGAGGAGCCTGGAGGCGGGACACCCCCGCGTCTGACGTGCGGTCCCGTCGGGCGGAAGAAGTCCCGGACGTGCGGAAGACGTGGCGGGTGTTTCCATGGAATTGGAGGGTAGCACTGGGTGAGGCACCAGCATGAATTGGAAGTTTGTTCGGTATTTTTCTTCGGTTTTGATGCTGAAACCAAAGATATCATACCGTGGTCCTTTGCTTCTGAAAGAGAGCCGCAAAACCATCCTCTTCAGCACCAAGATCCAGCCTCTGTCCCCAGGATCGAGCCTGAGTCCAAGCTGCGAGACGGAACATGTGTACCTGATTGTACCTGGAACCCAGACATGACCCCTGTTTTGATATCGGAAAAAACCATGAACAAACTGTTTGACATTTTGGATGGTTGGTGGATGTTGGTGGTCCAAAAACAGAGCTTACTCAAAATCTATGTGCACCGGCCTCGATCCACCAGAGCACCAGTCCACGAGACGTGCGACTCGTGTCCTCAGGTGGCTGGAAAGCGCCCAAGATCACCTCGCAGGAGACCCGTTTTGCTCGCGTTTTCTGGTCCGGGAAGACGACGAAGTCGTCGCAGCTGGACCGGGCACCCACTGCCCACTCCCGTGGAGGACCAGAATGGAGGACCCGTGGACGAAAGGTGGGTCTGGTCACGCAAGTGGACGGACGAATCATTTGGGGTCTATATAAGTAGTATGGTCTAGTCTTATAGTCGTATCCCAGACACTCCATGTATGACTCTATGACATACGTTGAAGTGGTTGACCTGGGGTCAATGGTAAGCAGTCCAGTCTCAGACAGGTCGTGTTTGCGTATAGGTAGTATAGGGTCAAAGGCATGTGGAGGCCGCACGAACAGTATGACGGTACGACTGGCCTATTTATCTACCTTGTGGTGGTTGAAGATAAAAGGGATATTCTCTTGTATAGTTCGGTGTAAATGAACCATAACTATTTATACTGTCAATTTTGGATAATTCCGGTGTATATATATTCTAGTCCCATGGATGGTTTGGGAATAAGTTTCTACACTAGCTTTACCAGGCAGTTCCGCGTAATTCTTGTGACCACCTGGCCGTGCCGGGCACAGCCAGCGACCGGCTGGCCGGTTGGCCTCTTCGAGTCCTACAAGACCCAGCTAAAATTGAGAGGTCTTGATTTTGGAGTTCTTCAGTGCAGTCAATCCAGGTAACTTAATTTATGTATGATGCGTTCGTCAATGTGCATGTTCTGAGTCTGTTCATGTTCATGTGAGGTCCCATAGAACACAGATGAACACAGGTCTCCAAGATCAAGGTTGTTTGGACGAAGAAATAAAGAAAGGGCCTCCACTTGGCCAATCCTCGGGACGTTGGTCCGCTTGGCGAGTCGTCTCCGGAAACGTTCCCGTCGGCGCGGGGAACGTGAACTCCGCTGCTCTGCGTGGGTCGGTTCCCAAAGAAGTTGGTCCACGAACAAAGCAGACCCCTCTCTCCCTTTGAGTTGGCTCCCAGAGTGGGCTGACCAATTGTTCTCTTCACTTCCCTAAGGATCATAGGATCCAAGTACCCTCTGAGAAGGTGGGACTGGGGTGGGTGTTTGGAGGGTCCGAGTACCTTTTGAGGAGGTACTTGGATCCCTATAGGGCTTATTATAATCACTTTCACAAGCCTATGTTTTCGGGCTTTAATATTCATTTACGCTTGCACTCGCTTGCACGCTTTCTGCTTCCATTCCCCAGTTACTTGCGAAAGTTAACACTCTGCTACATAGAAAGTGCCTCTAATCTCTCTTATAGATGGTAGCAGTGGATTCAGGGACTGATCCAGGGATACATGTTTGTGCATGGGACATCTTCCCCGTTGGGAGACGAAACGAGCAAATCCAAGTATAGTTCCTGCGCAGTTGCTTGGGGTGATGATGGTGATGTGTATCGTTCTGGGGAATCTCTATGATGCTTTTGCTCGCTTCTGAAACAAGCACATCCCAAGCTGTTGCCACTGCCCATCGCAAGCTCGGACCCGTTGCGACCCGGTCGAACGGTATCTCGGACCCGCGTCGAACGGCAGGAGTTCGCGGAGCTGCACACCGTGCCCATTTGGGACACCGGCGAACCAACACCCTTCGCCCCTCGTTGAGCTTATGTGTGTGTGTGTGTGTCAAACCCTTGCCAATCCTGGGACCTGGAATCATGTTCTTGCGAGCTTCTTCTCAAGTAAGTGTGTGTGTGTGTTATTGTGTGTTTGTGTGCTGTGTATGTGTTTTTCACCTTTTTTCTATATATATTTTTTTTTTTCGTGTGAAGAATAGGTTGTTGCGCATGACAGGCGGTGGTCGCGACAGGACCCGCACATGGCATGGAAATTTGGAGGTATGGCTGTCCAACACAGGTCAGTTGCACCTCGCTGTAGGCCCAACCTATAGCTGGTCATACATTGCAAAAACATGACTCGATCTTGGGGTTTTAAGGATCAGCTTGCACCAGGTTAGTCAGGAGCCGGGGAATGAAGGAACTGATGATGCGCATAGCGCGCCACGACAACACACCCTCACCCAGGATGTTTGGCGATGTAAAACATCGGAAACAACGGTCCCCCGTGAAGATGGAAGGCGCCCTCATTCCGTGTCGGGTGTCATTGAGGTTTCTTGCGTGTTCTCTACATCTTGAAAGGGTCTGAGTCTCCATCATTCCGGTGTACCTGGGTGTCTAGCTCAAATAGGGAGACCTCTCAGTTCGGCATGTCCGGCCATTTCCGGGCCCGGGTTCGGTTCGGGAAATAGGACCAGTCAACCCAGCCAGGGCCAGGGCGCTCTCCTTATTCCCGAAGAATCCACGTACCTCCTCAGGTTCGGTGCAACTGGGCCCTCCTGGCGCCACAAATATTCTCCCTGCTCACCGTACCTCAGGTTCGGTATGTGGATCCACAGCGATCCTAAGACACACCCACTTGGCTCTCCCTACGCGTCGGCGAGGTGAAGCCGTCAGTCGAGGTGGAAGCGAAGGACGGGGAAAGTGGGACGGACTGAGAAGGGGAAGGCGAGAGGCGAGCGGACTGAGCTGAATGTGTTTGAAGACTTCCAAGAAGCAAAGGGGGTGGAACGAAAGATGCACATTTCATGAACATCTTATGGCCATTTATGGCCTTAATTAAGATGATCGAACTGATCGAACTGCTTGGCTTATCTCACTGGATCTCCAAGAAAACACATCAAAAGAAGATCAAAGATGATATCATCCAGGTGAAGTGGTGCAGAACTTGTTTCATTTAAAAAAGGTATGTAGTTCCACGACGCTTAATCCATGCTGACCAGCTCAAAAAGCAGTCGGAGTGCAGTGCAGAGCTTCTATGGCTCAAAAGCCTTTGTGTAGCAACTCCAGTGTATGAAGATTTGCAACTGTATTCCCCAGACAATCAGACTGTTTCCTATCAGAAAATGGGTAATCCAGTCCCATCGGGGGGCAGAGTAGTAACTCTTCCAGTCCCATTGAGTTTCGGGTTTTGGGATAAAACCATGGTGTGTAGCTCTAGGAGCTGTCGGACTTTCATCGAAAGAATTGAAGCAGCAGTGCTATGTGAATGTCGGTTCTCCCGCGTGGGCTCGGGCTCCGCGTCCGACGGAGCCAACGATCAGCCAACGATCACCGAAAAAGTGTGCTCGAACGTGTTCAGCTTGTGAACCATAACCATCAGCTGCGAGTTTTGTTTTGTTTTTTCTGTGGCATCAGAAAACCATCGCAGACACTGGCAGACACATAAGAATTGGCTGGGTGGTTTCTCGATCAATGTTAAGGATTTAGTTACGTAATAGTCGTTCCAAACACCTCAAAGAGGACCGTGGTGGCCAGGATCCCGAGGTGGCCGAAGTCTCTAAGAAGGACGAGAAGAAAAAGGAGGCTCCAAAAGCAACTTGGTACACAACATGTTTGAGCACTTGGCCCAGGAAAGGGTATTTCTGTAGCACATTGCAGATTCTATTCCAAAGCTCCTTTGGCAGGTCGCTCTTTGGGTCTTTGGGTGGTAGTTGGCATTGGCGACCCTGGATGTGTTTGTTTGATGCAATGTGAACATTCTCATGTGTACACAATGGTGATCCTCATGCATCAAACCCGGTGAGATATACTGACCTGTGGGATTTTCTTCCACGACTTCACATTTGCTTGAACAGTCAGAAGTGCTTGGGGAGCACAGTTCCAAAGACATATGAAGTGCCTCCAAGTGTTGTGATGATTGCAATTGCATAGGAGCATTGCATTTATATGCGGGCATGCTCCAACCCTTGGCAAATGATAGGGGACTCACAAAAAATACTTAACCTCAACAGAAAACACTGATGACTCAGAAATCTGAGGATGCAACAGCCACACACAATAAAGTTTGACCGTACCTCATATGATTAGGTGTTCAGCTTGGAATCAGCCTACTTTGAGATAGTTGGGATGACTGTGGGAACTGTGCCACCAAGCAACCCCCACTCATGGTTGTGGCCCACAATTCTTTTGGTCTAAGAGATAATTTGTTCGGAGACCTTTCAATGGCCCAGGAAGCCAAAAAGCAGGAAAAGGATTCAAAGAAAGAGTCCAAAAAAGAATCTTCCAAAAAGGAGTCGAAAAAGGACTCTTCCAAGAAAGAATCTTCGAAAAAAGAAGCTTCGAAAAAGGAGGATTCCAAAAAGAAGAAGGCACAAAAGGTGGTCGAGGAGGCAGTGGACTGACGGCCGACGAGCGTTCCAGAGATTTCAAGAGGGACCTTTTGTAGCTATAGGCGACCTCCGGTCCAACCCCACACAGCCTGTTCAAGTGGGGAAGGTTTTTGCGGCTGGAAGTACATCGAAGTATTTATCCATTGCTGGCGCAATCAGTGTTTATCCATGCTGGGGACGCCGGATGCCGTTTTACTGTTTTAGGTCTAGTGGCTAATGCTAAACAACCGGAGGACATGGATTGACGTGGTGAGGCAGTTGGTGCTACAAAATCTGTCAAATCAAGTCATCTACAGCACTGGTATTTTGAAGTCCCAGTCAAGGTATGTTGGGCAAATGGTCCCCCCAAAACAAGACAACAAGACCACATAAAGCCTGGAGCCTTGAGGCTCCAATATGAGGCAGGATGTCATTATAGACTAATCCTTCAGTCAGGCCTGATTCGCCGGAGGAGGCGACCATTCTCTTGGAAGTATATGTTCAAAGGGTCACTGCCATATGTTGTTCATAGGGTATCGCTTCACTCAAAGTCGTTTAAGATGAGAACCAGCAAGAACCCTACATAAACCTACACAAACCCCACAGGAAACAATACAAATCCCAAGAAAAACAACACTTTGGACACAACCTTTCACTAAAGATAGTAAATGCCAATGCCTTTATGGCTTTCCCACTTTTGGGCACAGTCTTCCACTAAAGCTCAACCCTTCCGCGCCACTAGCCTATGGATAATAAATGCCAGGCAGCTTTCCCACGTCATTCCCACTTTTGCCTGTGCGTTTTTCTTTTCCACCATTTGCATGGTTTTTAATCCATCCTTTCCACTCTAATTGATGACACCGTTTTCCCATCTTTGGGTTTGGGTACCAGAACCTGATTTGTTTTTTCCACCAGAACCTGAAGGAAGCTGACCTGTTCCCACGAAAACCTGAACTTTTCCCACTTGGGGGATAGCCTCCAGACAAAACTAAGACAAACAAATACTATGTTTTTTGTTCAACATGTGATTGCTTGAACTTATACAGTATACAGTTTTGCACATGTTTTGAACACTTTCCCACTTTGGGGGCACCCCTCAACAACTCCCAAGGTCCGGGCAATGTGAGTGCCTTGTGTCCAAGTCAAGTCAAACCTGACAAAATTCCACGGAAATCCCAACTCTTTCTCATGCATTTCCCAGATGGGAATTTAGTAGGATTTAGTCAGGTTTTTGCAGGTTTCCAGCACAGTGAAGAAGTGCTCTATGAACAACCTCCAAGTGGGATTTTCCCAACTCCACAATTCATTCTGAAAAGAGAGCCTGAGGAGTCACTTGGTCCACCGGTCTTTTTGGAGCTCAACTCGCTCGATCAGTTTCTTAAAACCCGCAGGAGCTTTCTGCTGAACCAGGCAGGGCGCAGCTGCCCGGTGAAACCATGCACACCATGCTGCCCCGTGGTCCATGAACACACCCGAGGACCCGAACACCGGTCGTTCGGAGTTGGACCAGAGCACCGGTCAAAACGGAGTTGGACAGCGCATGAGAAAGTGTGTGAGATTGGTCCGAAAGCCGCACGCGTCCAAGCGCCTTCTGATGACGTGCTACAGAGATGGGACAGAAAGAAGGTATTCTGGGGCCACCGAATGACAAAAATCCCAGATGAACCATGGGACTGGAAGATATGTTGTTTCCCAGACAGACCCCGGACGTTTTCACAACTGATCAGTCAATAGGCCAGTCCCATCCATGGCATGACAACAACCGCAACATGTTCAATTTCAGCACATATAGGGCAGTTTGTCAGGTCGTGACTCTTAAGGGAAAAAATATATCGAAAAGAGAAGCTAGTGTTCGGCCCGTGCAACCGTTTTTTGTTTGGGCATAGGGTTGTGGATGGTGGGTTTCTCCATTAAGTTTTATACTGATGTACATGTTCCTTTGTGTATGCGCACTGAGTCGAACGAGAACAACGCACCGATGAAGATTGATCAAAAGAATCCGAGCCAAGCCGTCGGAACATGGCTGACCTGGCCTTTTGAGAACCGAATTGCACCTGTTGCAGCCGCTTTTTAGCTTAACGTGGTGTTGGACATTGTGACTGCTCAGTCATCCAAGATATAGTTGCCAAATTGAACATGATGAGAAGTCAACAACAAGAAAGAGAACCATGGAAGCCCATATTGACGTTGACACAAGGAGGCCCACAGAAGGATATGTGTTTGTCGCAGAACAAGAGACCAGAAATGACCTGGTTTACGGTTTACGTATTTTGACCCAATCCTAGAGATTGAGGGTCATTGGGTGTCCCTCGTCGCAAAGCCGAAGCCCACAAAACAGAGCCACGCTGCAGATCCTGATGAGGAGGAGGCAGAGGATGAGGCGGGGAGACTTGGAACCCCCCCAAAGCATGTGCAGGTGAGGATGTAAGTTCAGCGGGGTCCCCAGAATCCTGGGGTTCAGACCCCCACTAGCTGTGTTTATGGTTCTGCATTGTGTTTGAAGCCGTGCCACTAGTGTCTATGTGTTGGCAAGGCGAAAGAAGACGAAGAAGAAAAAGAAGCAGAGGAGAAGGAAGAGGAAGAAGAGGCCAAGGAAGATGAGGAAGAGGCCGAAGATGCCAAGGAAGACGAAGAAGAGGCCAAGGAAGAAGAAGAGGAAGAAGCCGAGGCAAAGGAAGAGGAGGAGGAAGCTGAGGCCAAGGAAGACGAGGAGGAAGCCGAGGCCAAGGAAGACGAAGAGGAAGCCGAGGCCAAGGAAGACGAAGAGGAAGCTGAGGCCAAGGAAGACGAGGAAGAAGTTGAGGCCAAGGAAGACGAAGATGAAGAGGAAGTGAAAGAAGTAGAGACTGAAGAAGGGGAGCCCGAAGACAAAGATGAGGAGGAAGCAGAGGCCAAAGAGGATGAAGAAGAGGTTCAAGAGCTGGAGAAAACTGAGGAAGCCGAGAAGGAAGATGCCTCAGAAGAAGAGGCCTGGTGGTTTCAGAGTAATGATGGGAACCTGCAGCCACCCGCCAGCATTCCCTGGCAATAGAACCCATAGATGGCCTTTTGCTACTGGTTGGCTGATTATACAATGGAGGGCATCCCAAGTGAAGAACCAATAGGTATATGGTATCAATCGACACATCATTGACGGAGCCGATGAATCATTTTTGACCATTCAACTTGGACATCGTTGACCAGCCAATCAGC